ATTGGAACGGAGTGTTAGTCCCATGTACGGTCGCGACCCCTCACACTTCGATTGCTTGTCACGTGGTTTCCGTTGCGAGAATTCGCGATGCCATAGCTCGGAATGACGTCGAGGAGATGGGCCTTGTATTCTTGCATGCTCTCCCCTCGCCGGACGAACCAGCCGCGTCACCGCCGGACCCACGCATCACTCACCTCTTGGACGAGTATGGAGACGTCTTCGAGGCTCCCACCGGAATGGTTTCGGATCGGCCCATACGTCACGGGATCACTCTCGAGGTTGGTGCCGTCCCTCCGCGTGGATGTATCTACCGCATGAGCGAAGAGGAACTCGAGGTGCTTCGCGCACAACTCGATGACCTTCTCGACAAGGGCTGGATTCGCCCTAGTTGTTCACCCTACGGTGCCCCTGTTCTCTTCGTCCGGAAGAAGAACAAAGATCTACGGTTATGCATCGACTATCGCAAACTTAACGCACAAACCGTAAAGAACGCCGACCCTCTCCCTCGGATTGATAATCTCCTTGAGCGGTTAGGCGGCGCGACGTACTTCGCGAAGTTGGACTTGAAGTCGGGTTACCACCAGATTGAGATCCAGCCTCAAGATCGGTACAAGACCGCGTTCAAGACGCGGTATGGGCATTTTGAGTGGGTTGTCATGCCTTTTGGCCTCACCAATCCCCCGCGACTTTTCAAGCAGCTATGACGACTGAGTTTCGCGACTTGCTCGATCGCAGCGTCCTCATCTACCTCGATGACATCTTGGTCTATAGCAGGACGTTGGACGAGCACATCATACACCTTCGTGCTGTTTTGAATCGTTTGCGACTGACCAAGTGCAAAGCAAAGCGCGACAAGTGCGAGTTCGCCAAGCAGGAGCTGGAGTATTTGGGCCATTATGTTACGCCGAAAGGCATTCGTCCCTTAGCGGAAAAGATAAGGCATTCGTCCCTTAGCGGAAAAGATCCAAGCCATCGTGGATTGGCCGGAACCCCGTTGTACGACGGATGTACGCTCTTTCATGGGTTTGGTTGGATATTATCAGCGATTCGTCGAGTCATACTCGAAAGTGGCCGCTCCTTTGTCGAGACTTCAGTCCCCGAAGGTGCCCTTCGAGTTCGACAACGCAGCCCGTGGCGCGTTCACTACGTTGAAGGCAGCGATGCAAGCCGCACCTGCCCTCCGTATATACGACCCCACCCTTCCCACCCAAGTGAMTACGGACGCTTCGGGATACGGTATTGGTGCGGTGTTGGAACAGTGTCACGAGGACGGTTGGCATCCGGTCGAGTATTTCTCCCAAAAGGTGCCTCTCGTCAACACTCTCGACGGTGCTAGGAAGAAAGGGCTACTCGCGTTCGTCACCGTTTGAAAACGGTGGCGCCACTTCCTTCTCGGCCGTCGGCGTTTTAAATGGAATACAGACAACAATCCGTTGACCTTTTACAAAACGCAGGACACGGTCACTAGCACGATCGGTCGATGGATGTATTACATCGACCAGTTCGATTTTGGCCCGTGCCACATTCCCGGTCTCGCCAATCGAGCTGCGGACGCCCTCTCATGACGGCCCGACTTTTGTGCCATTGTGACCACGACATTCGACCTCGATGACGATCTGCAGCCGCATTTCGTCAAAAGCTACAAGTCCGATCCGACTTACTCTACGCTTTATGCAGAGCTTTCATCGGATCACCCGCCGGCTAGCCACTATCGGATTTCCGACGGGTTCCTTCTCCTTCACACGAGAGGAAAGGACTTGTTAGTTGTGCCCTAAGATCGCATCTTACGGACTTGTCTTCTCGGCGAATTCCACGATGCACGACTTTCGGCACACCTTGGCGTGAACCGCACATTAGCACGCCTCCGCCAGCGTTTTCACTGGCCCGACGTCCTTCATGACGTCACGAGGTACATTGAGTCATGTGGAGTTTGCCACCGHAACAAGGGTCGATCTCGAGTCCCCTTCGGCGAACTGAAACCATTGCCGATTCCTCGGGCACCGCGCCTCTCCATTGCTATGGACGTAACAGGCCCGTTCCCCCGCGATCGCCATGGCCATAACGGTATTCTCACGGTTGTTGACCGTTTGAGCAAGTACGCTCGCTTTCTTCCTTGCAAGTATCATGCTGCAGCGCCGGAGCTCGCACGACTCTTGCACACCGGTTGGATTACCAACCAGGGTGTTCCGGAAGACATAGTGAGCGACCGAGATACTCGCTTCATGTCGGCCTTTTGGACTTCCCTCATGGCTGAGTCCGGTACGGCAATGAAACTGAGCTTGGCTCGGCACCCGCAGACGGATGGCCAGACGGAGCGAGCGCACCAGACCGCTCAGATGATGTTGCGTACGCTCATTCGTCCCGACCAGAAAGATTGGGTTGACCGGCTTCCCAACATCGAGTTCGCCTATAACACTTTGGTGCACCCGGCGATCTGCGTCACACCATTCGAGCTACATCATGGTGGAGAGAAAGCACGGATCTTCACTGATCTCCTTTTGCCACAGGCTGCCGACATAGACGTCCCTTGCTCTCCCGCTTCCGTTCGGAAGTACCGGGACTTGCTGATCAAAGCCTGCGCGAATATGCAAAAGGCTCAAATCCGCATGCAACAGCAAGCTAACCGACGTCAACTTCCATGTCCTTTCCGCGAGGGAGACGTTGTTTGGGTCCTCTCCGAGGAATTTGCGCTCGAGCAGGAAGTTTCGCGCAAACTCCTTCCGAAATGGTTCGGACCATGGGAAGTCACTTCTGCCGTTGGAGACGACCCCGCAGGTCCTTCCTTCGTGATCAACATTCCTCCGCACCTGACAGTGCACCGGGTCTTCCACGCGTCGAAGCTGGCCATCTACACGCCACCTTCAGCTGACGAGTTCCCCGGCCGTCGATCACAGGATCCGCCTTCTATGGACGGACATTAGGAAGTGGACCGAGTCATCACGCACCGCAAGTATGGCAACAAGCCAATGCAGTACAAAGTCACATTCAAGCAATGTGCGCCTGACGACACTCGGTGGATCTCTAGTGCAGACTTGCAGACTTCTGCACCCCTTATCTTCGCCGACTATGAGAAGCGACGCCTTGCCAAGGAAGCAGCTCGTCCCACCCGACCCATCCCGGTATCGGACAGACAACTTCGCCCTCGCAAGTAGCTCGGTCTTTTAAGAGGGGGAGTGTGTGACATCTTCGACGCACACGGGTCCTACCGGACCCGACTTAGGGCTAGAGGGACACATTAGGGCCTAAAGACCCGACCTTGGGGGATTATTAGGCCAAAAGGCCACGACTTGGACAGACCGACGGACCAGGCCCAAACGACATTTTGTTTTGGGCCTGGAGCGCCTTTGAGGCTGCCGCTCTCCGGTTGGACCTGAATCGTCGATCTGGACGGTTCAGACCCAACCGAGGCCTCGCAGCATTGAGGCCGGTCTTCTTCGAACCAGTACTTGGTACTGGTCCGGCCTCACTTCGAGGGATCGACCCACTGGCACTCTAACGGTGTGGTATGGTACGGCGCGAACAGCGCTGGCGCTATGTTTAGTGCAGGAGCACGAGGAGCAGCGCAGCGCAGCATTAGCGCAGCAACAGCGGCGACTGAGCGTATCGGCGGCCATAGCCGCCTGAGGTATCGGGAGTCGGAGGTTTCTCTCCTCCCTCCCATCGCCAGTCCCCTCTCTCTCTCTCTCCTCCTCGGCTCCCTTCTTCTTCTTCTTCTTCTTCTTCTTCTTCTTCAGATTGGAGACTTATACTAGTTGGACAGAGATCAGAGTTGGACTTCGGTGGTAAGAGGCTGTGGTACTTACCGGGTTCGAGACTTGGAGATTGTTGGGGATGATACTCGGCTGCATCACAGATTTTGACACCGGTTACATTAGGACTCTGTATCTCCGACATTGGTGACTTACTGTCCTCGACATTTTGATCTTGTTCGATGACATTTTGGATTACCATATCGGTGACCTACTGGTTTCTATCTCAGTGACATTTGGTGCTACCTACATCTCCCACCTCCTTCGTCTCTCCTCCCACCTTCATCTGTGTATGTGTGTACGGGGCTGAGCATCGTCCATGTATGGCTCAGACCCCACCATCTCACGATTGTATGTGTGTGGAGTGATATCTATGTGAGTCAGTCTGTTTATCAGACTTCCGCTGCATATATGCTCATCCTACATTGGTTGATCTTTGGTTCTGCCCATACTCATTGAAGTATGTAACACTCTCCCTCTCCCTCTCCCTCTCCCCATCTCCCCGTCTCCCCGTCTCCCCGTCTCCCCGTCTCCCCGTCTCCCTCTCCCTCTTCCTCTCTCTCTCCCTCTCCCTCTCGGCACGTATGAAAGTAGCAACTCTCCCTTTTTTCGCGTGCTTGTTCACACGTTTATCCGTCTGCTCCTTCATATGCTTCTTGTTTCCTGTCATTCTGTCCCTTCTCTCCTCGTCTTTCATCTTGCGCTCTCTTCTCCAGTGACTTTGTGCAGATTGGTCTCTCCCTTGGCTCCTCCTAGAGCATGTGACTCTCTTCCTCCTCCTCCTGCTGCTTCTCTGACTCGCCATCTTATATCGACTCAAGCTTCTGCGTTCTTCTCCTTCGACTGTCCTCCTATTCCTTCTACTTTCCTCATATTCTTTCTCCTGTTCTTTCATTCTCGTCTTCGTTCTCTTCTTCCTTTTTCTCCTCTTCTCCTCCACTCCTTCCTTGTCCTTCGATGTCATTTTCCTTCTCCTTCTTTACCCTGTCCCAGGTCTCCATTCTCCGTCTTTGCTCTGTGATGAACTCTGAATAGGACTTAGGGTCATGACCTCTATGTGTGGCTTAGAAATCACGAAATAGGTTATCAGCTGCAGCGTTCTATTTGCAGACGTGCCTGGTGTGGCTCTTCCTAGTCGCTTTCCTTGTGTGTTTTTCCACTTCTCGTAGGAGTTTGTTTGAGGTCATGATGGAGTTGCATAGTGTGTTGTTTTCTACGTCTTTACTTTGTCCATGACCGTATCTGGGACAGGTGGAAATTGATCTACTGGTGCATAATCAAGCCAAGGCGAGAGACAATTTGGAAAAGGAGTACCTAGAAAAATGCCAGCCACTTTATGAGGTGTGTAATTCTGCTGGCCATCTGTGTCATTAGACAGTTTTTTGTTTTTTGCTGAGAATTCCCGGCAGGTTCTTTATCTCCCCTTTTGTCTAGTATTTTTTCTCCTTCGCTCTTTCTTAATTCTCTTGTAGCTTTTTATAACTTTTCCCGTAATTGTCTTTTTGACCTCGGGACGTATCATGTTAATTTCAGCGTGATTCTCTATCTGGTTTCTGGTGTTTTCTTTGCAGCTTTCTATCCCTTGTGCATTGCCAGTCGGAATTCCTCTCATCTCTCTCCATCTTTGTTTTTCCGTTCTGTGAGCTTATCTCATTTGTCTTTATTTTGCCGATCATTGTCCATCTGCTCCTTCCCCCGTTCTCTTAGGCTGTCTGGCCATCTTCCTGGGTAGCTGACGACATGATGATTCCTTCAAAGGACATGCTGATTGTTCATTCATGCAGATGACGTGTTGATTGTTGTGGATGATGTTTTAATTGCTGTGGATGCCGTGTGGATTGCTTTGGATGACATTGCGATTGCTGAAAAGTTGGAATTTTCTTCCAAGGCTTGAAAGTGTAAGAAAAACTGTGTGGATTGTGCTTTGGTACACAGTTGTGCTTTGGGGGTGTTTGAGCGATATTATATTTTCTTCTAAACACCCTTTCTCGGTTCATGCTATTATTTGACAGCGATCTTACATACAGGTTCATCATCGTGCTGGGCTGAGAAAAACTTCTGGCGATGATGTGTATGACTGATTCTGGTTTACAGAAGCGACGAAAGATTGTGATGGGAGAGGTGGAGCCCACAAAGGAGGAAGTTGAAGGCATTTCAGATGGTGACGATGACGACGATGTCAGCAGCACGGTCACTGGTGAATTGGGCGAAATCACGACACATAAGAAGCAGGCTAAGGGTGTGCCATATTTCTGGCTCTCAGTTATAAAGAATCAGGTAACGTACCACCGTCGATAGTGTATATGAGCGATACACGCCTCCAACTGTTCATGAAGATCAAGAGTTCAAATCCTGCACGATATGTGATGTTAGGGGATGCCGCCTCTCCTGTCTGGAAAATGAATAAAGTAGATTTGTAAGGATTTCACACTGCAGACCCCTGAAAGTTGGCCCTAAATCCCCGAAAGTCCAGAAAGGTCCGAAGTCCCAAGTCCCAGCTTCACGTAGTGTGGGTCTGTGAGGCCAGTTCAGGGCCAGTTCAGGGCATCGTAGGCCTCAAGTCAAGAAACATCCGGAAACGTTAGGTTGAGGTTGAGGGTCCGGCATCGGACAGAAAAGTCTAGAGGTTTGAGTTGTTGTACAGCCTGTCCGGTACCCCCACAGAAAAGTTCTGAAAGTCCAAGTGCAGTTCCGAAGTCCACAAAAATTGCAGCAAGTCCCAGGAAAGCCGGAAGATTCCAGACCGTCAAAATGATTGCAATAGAGGCCGCATGGGTCTGAGGCAGGCCAAGCCAAGTCCAATTACTATATTTAGCTGCTACAGTGCAGCAACGGGAGACAGTTGTTCATTTGTAAGGTTGCGGAAACGCTGCTGCTGCTTGTGTGACCAAGCGACTTGGGCAAGACCGCGCTCAAAGAAGAAGGGAGCGTCGAAGGCAACCATAGGTAGGGTAGTGGTAGAGAGGTAGGGCGGCCATAGCCGCCAAGGTCTGAGTCTGATCTGAGCGGGTGTATTCAGGTAGCGATCCAAGGCTGAGGATAGAGAGAGGAAGAGAGATAGTGAGGCCAAGCAATCCAAGGCAGAGCAGAGAGAGAGGAAGAGAGGGAGGGAGACAGTGAGGCTGAGCAATACAAGACCAAAGAGAGCATGAGAGAGGAAGTAATAGTTGGTTACATACCTGATCCAAGTCTGGTTCTGTGGGAGCGGCAGAGACCCCAGGAGACATGTACACTTTCTTTGTATAATCAAAACAATTTGCACTTCAACCTCTCGTGTGATTTTTGTGTCTCGGCTCTCGCTACCAAGTGTGAATACTCATGTGGATGCTCGTTGCATGTGTGTATGAGGTTGAGAGTGGTTGACTTGCGAATCCTTGCACTGGTATCGGAGCTGGATCCCGCTACATTTGCTTGGAGAAGCAGCGCTGGCAACAACAACAAAAGGAAGATATTGGGGTTTGAAGTTGGGTAAGGGCTGAAGTAGAAGTGGCTTGGAAGAGGCGAGCGGCACACGTACCTGCGAAAGAGGAGCTTCATCAAGATTATTGAAGTGCTTCTTGCCCTTGCCCTTGCCCTTGCCCTTGCTTTTGTCTTTTATGCAATCTATTTTTGTTTTGTCCCTGAACTTTACTGGAGACCTCTGCTGCAATCAGTCGTTTTTGTTGACGTCAACTGGTTTTGCTGCTCGAGTCTTTGAGTCTGTCTTACATGTTGAGGATGCATGTTGACTGAGCACATTAACTGGATGAATCACCCGTAAAGTAGGGGACGTGGGCATGAGCTGCAGGCGCTCAACCCAGCTAGCCCAATGACCGGTACTGACCAGCACAACCCTGAACCGGAGCTGACGTAATGAAGGGAGTAGGTCGATAGGTAGATGCTCGGCAGCTGGATGTATCACCCAAGAGTAGAGAGCATGGGCATGAGAGGCAGCGCTCGTAAAACAACCCGTCTAGCCTTAAGACCGGTGATGACCTTCATGCGACTGAATCGGTGCTGACGCAGTGAGGGCCTTTAAGTCTTGAGAATGTTACCCCACAGAAAAATCTGGAAAGTCCAAGTCCAGTTCCGAAGCCCACAAAAATTGCAGCAAGTTCCAGGAAAGCCCGGAAGATTCCGGACCAACAAAATGATTGCTACAAACAGGCCGTGGCTGACCGGTACCGGTCTGAGGCAGGCCAAGCCAAGTCCAGTTCCTATATTTAGCTGCAACAGTGCAGCAACAGGACACATTTGTTCATTTGTGAAGTTGCGGAAGCGCTGCTGCTGCTTGTGCGACCAAGCGACTTGGGCAAGACCGCGCTCGAAGAAGGGAGCGCTGAAGGCAACCATAGCTAGGGTAGTGGTAGAGAGGTAGGGCGGCCATAGCCGCCAAGGTCTGAGTCTGATCTGAGCGGGTGTATTCAGGGAGTGATCCAAGGCAGAGCAGAGAGAGAGGAAGAGAGGGAGAGAGACATTGAGGCCGAGCGATCCAAGGGAGAGCAGAGAGAGAGGAAGAGCGGGAGAGAGACAATGAGGCTGAGCGATACAAGACCAGAGAGAGAGAGAGAGAGAGAGAGAGAGAGAGAGAGAGAGAGAGAGAGAGAGAGAGAGAGAGAGAGAGAGAGAGAGAGGCTGAGTCTGTGTGAGTGGCAGAGACCACAAGAGACCCGAACACTTTCTTTGTATAAGGTTCTGTGTGAGCGGCAGAGACTGCTTGAGACATGTACACTTTCTTTGTATAATAAAGACAATTTGCGTTTCAACCTCTCGTGTGATTCTTGCATCTTGGCTTTCGCTACCAAGTGTGAATACTCATCTGGATGCCAGTTGCATGTGTGTACGAGGTTGAGGGTGGTTGACTTGCGAATCATTGCATCAGCAGCATGGTCACTGGCGAATTGGGCAAAATCACGGTACATAAGAAGCAGGCAAAGGGTGTGCCAGATTTCTGGCTCTCAGTTCTAAAGAATCAGGTAACGTACGACCGTTGATAGTGTATATGAGCGATACACGCATCCAACTGTTCATGAAGATCAAAAGTTCAAATCCTGCACGATATGTGATGTTAGGGGATACCGCCTCTCGTGTCTGAGAAATGAATAAAGCAGATATGAATGAAGAAGATACGGATAATTTTTTTTTAAAAAACAAATAAGAAGATATTGCAAGGAAAATAAGCAACAGCGAGATGACAATTCCAGATTACATCATCACATTGAAAGCCAGATAGTCACACCGTGTCCAGAGAGCAGCATTGCACCAATAATACACCAATGGAGGTTCGTTGTACTGAAAACCAATGTCATGGAGAGCATACTCTCTCCTCATCAACACAAGAGTCCAGTCCCTTCACTCTCCTACTTAGCGCTCAGCGCCCAGCCTACTCCTAACACAGCTACTACAGCCTACTAATTGACAATGCAACTGTTGACATCAGCAGCAACCCGAAGTACTTGAAGATGTCGCCCATGCAGACCATCGCCAATACAAGGTAAGTGCCCTCACATCCTCCTCATCATCATCCTTCACCTATCCCACGTCTGTCCTCTCTTACACCCGAAGACCACCCCTGCGCCTCAATGTAGACCAAGCCCACCAGCTATGGTGGCTGGGCTATGGCGCTGCCCTCAGCAGTGCCCTTCTTCCCTGCACGACCGCACGTGCTGCTCCTCGCCTCTCAGCGCCAGCCAGCAGCCGCGAGCTCTTGCTCCAGCAGCGCTGCCGCTAGCATGCGAGTGCCTGAATGCCTCTGCCAGGGGAGAGCTCTTTCCTTTATGGAAAGAGCTGGCCTGCTTCGCGCATCCTGGCTGCACTGGCCTGGGCCCAGAAGCTTCCGGAAAGCCCCAAGAGGCTGCCTGTGTACAGCAGCTACTGGGCTGCTGGGCCTCGTTCGGTTGGGCGCCCAACTGTCTCTGTATGAGGCTGCGAATAACGCCGAGGGCCTGCATTCTTTGGAAAAGCCGGGAGGGCCGTGGAAATGTCTTTGTTGCCCGGCCTGAGTTTCTCTCAACCAACTGGCGCGTCGCAACTGCCTGGACCCCAAATATGAAATTGACAGTCGAGGGCCTCTTGCGATATGTTAGGCCCGCCTTCACTTAGGCCGGGCACCTCCGCCTTCACTTAGGGCGGGCAATGCTGCAAACAGGGCCCCTTAGGCGAGGACCCTGATCCTCGCAATATTAATGAGGATGATATTGATAATGATGATAAAACATTTCTGTAAAACACTAATTGTCAAATAGTAAAATGCCGGAGACAGAATCGCGTTAGAATGCCGATGACTGTTGCTGCCCTACAGTGTGAAGCTTCCTTCCTGCAGCAAACCAGTCTGTAAAGTTGGGTTCCTCTTTTGGAGCTTCTTCTTCGTCCTTTCTTTTCCATTTTTTTTTTTTCTTTCCTTTTTTAAATATGGGACTCTATTTTTTGTGTGGGATGGACTGACAATCTTGGTTTGGAGATTCTTTTTCTCCCATTGCAAGGAAAATGAGCGATCGCGAAATGCCGGAAATCCAGAATGCAAAATCACATTGAGATTCCGGGGGGCCGCCTTCACTTAGGGCGTGCACGCGACTGCTGCAGGGCCTTATGCCGAGGGGTAAACCCTCGCATTCCCTCCTCCTTTACTTCGATAGTCCTCTGAGAAGTCGTTACACAGCAGGCTGCTTCCCTGTCAAATTCCGTTCATAACTTGTGATCATAGTTGCGGCGCACTAGTGCGCAGTGCGGGGCGGGGCGGTGCACACTGCGCTGTCCAATGACTTGCTGTTTTCTGGTCGCCTGTAGCCTCTCTCTGTCGAGGCTGTACTATAGGTAGGACAGATTCGCAATTTTGTTTGGCTGAGGGCTAACCGAGAGACCTACCTGTGAGGGGAATTAGTGAGGGACATATCTGCAAATTTGGAAAATATGCGGGCCCAGTACTAACCTAATTCCCTACAGCTACCCTAACTGCGAATAGCAGGTCTGGGCTACCCCTAGGACAGACAGGCCCTAAGGGCCTATTCTGATCGACGGTCCTATAGCCTATAGCCGGGTCCGATAGAGGCCGAGAGGCCGAAACAGACACGGTACCAGTCGGTCAGTCAGTCCGGTCTAGGTCGAGTCTAGGCTAGTTGTAGTCTATAGATAGGATGGGCACATCGGTTCAGGGCTTTTGGCAGTTGGTACCGAGTACATCGCTGCTGTGCTATGCGTGAACCGGAAGTGGTGACGGCTCAGCGTGGAAGGAGACAGGCATAGCCAGACCTTCGGAGCGCGGCCATAGCTGGGACCTGCGCTGTACTCTGCCAGCACGTAGGGGCTGACAGAGGTCTGGGTTATCGAGGTCTGCTGGAGCCGAGAGAGATTGGTGCCCTGCTGGACTCTCCTCCGGAGTGGGGTTCCAGGGTGTTTGCGCTGCAGCCATAGCTGCAGCTTCTTCCTCAGAGGTCATCTTGTCAGGGTTTGGTGGCGCTGCTGCAGACTTCCACCCGGGAAATCTTCCGACACTTCGTCATCATCAGATACTGTGGTGCTGGTCTTCTTCTTCATCCTTTGAGTGGCGCTTGGCCTCAGAGGCTTGTTTCAGGGTGGCGCTTCCCTCAGGAGGCTGTATCTTGGTGGCGCTTGATGTTTCAGGGGCTCAGGGGTGTTACGGGTGTTATTCAGGGTTGGGTAGTGAAGCGCTTGCTCATTTCTGAGCAGCGCATCCTGACAATTCGAGACTCTGAGTTTAATAAACAGAGTATAACTGGGTTTGGACTATCATCGTTTCATTGTTTTCCTGGATGTGATCTGCTCGACTTTTCTCTATGACTGGTTGTGAGGATTGAGTGGAGTGAATTGCACTTTCAGTGTACCCTGTCATATCGCATGGTCAAGTCTTCCGCTGTGTTATCTCTCCCTGTGCGGTGTGATACTCTTATCCTCTCCCCTTCCTTCTGTGTATGTATGGGCATACCTGGAAGTCTCTGCGAGTGAATGTTGGCCTTCAGGCAACAAACAACCAGAATCATAACAGCTGTGTGCTGGAATGACAGCGCGCGCACTGTGCGCCGTGCGCTGTGCTCAGTGCGCAGTGCGGCCCGCTGTGCGCGGTGCGCGCGATGAGGGAGGCTGTAGTAACCCTGTTCAGAAGTAGCCCGGGGCTCAGAACTCAGCCCCAGGCCACGCAGACCAGACTTGGTCTGCGCTGGGCTGTGTGACCAGCACATGCCCAGAATTCAGAATCTGCACGTGGYTGTGGGACCAAGTACTAAGACTAGGAAATTCAAGAGTCAAAGTCAACCGCCAAGTCAAAGGTACCTCGCCAGGCCCTGSGTTGGATACATCCACTTGTTGTGCGCAGGTACCAAGACATGCTACGAGGTCAAAGAGAATACAGTTTCAGATCGATCCAGACCATACTTGACATCAAGATCTGGACGGCGGAAGTACACAGCAGTCGGGGTCCAGACCCAAGAGTCAACACTACTTAAGCAATGACTCCTTGRCTTTGACAYTCATTCTGGCTGCGTTGACGCTGCTCTACGTATTGGCAACRCGACGCTGCKACRCTGCGACGCTGRCATTTTGCTGGCATTGGCGAGATAGCGACATTGCGCTGCTGGCTGGTGCGCTGACTGGCTGGCTACTGTCTTAATGCTGACGTGGCAGCTGCCACRCATTGTTGCTGACGTGGCGCTGCCACGTGTGCTGTTGYCGGGTCTATATGACCGGCATTGCTGTTCTGCTCCATCTTCAATTCAGGAAGCGATCAAGTCTGTTTCATCGGTACTTCAGGAGGAGATCGGGACTGTGTGGAGGTTGTGAATACGTACCTGAGGTCTTCATATTGACATTGCTCCATCGCTGATTCAGAACTGGTTAGGTGCCACGTGGCACTCTTTGAGAGGACTTCAACTTGGTGTTCAGATTGCTGGTTGTGTGAGGTGGAGGAGCCCRGAGAAGGAGTGGGCATAATTATCCTCTCCTTTGTCTTATCTCCCTCCTCCCTCTTCGTCTGTGTATGTTATCTCACATTTCTTCTTCTGGATACTATTGATTATTGGAGACTATGATCAGCGACTCGACATTTTGGACTTGCAGTGTTGATATCTGTATTCATAATCTGGGTTCATTGCAATTTGGTATCAGAGCCATTCTCCTGAACACGGTGTATAGGCGACAGGTGGCGCACAGGTAAGTGTGGAGCTCACACGTAGATAATAGGTGATGACGTAGATATCTGACGTGGCAGAAATTGATGAGCTGCCCTCGCTAGGGATATTTGACATGGTATGGACTGACGAGTTGACCTCTCCGGGGACATCTGACGCGTCACAGATCAACGAGAAGACCACTCAGGGGATGCTGATGTGGAACTAACGAGATAATGAGAAGACCCTACCTAATGCTGACGTGGAAGTAGGGATCGTGGCAAGAGATATTTCTGTTCAGCCTGGATCTTGATGTTGACGTGGCATATGCCACGTCCCAGGACCTTGTTGTAATTGTTGGCAGGGCATGCTTCGTGCTGTCATACATGACAGGGTCCATTGTAGATTCTGACACGGCCTTGCAGGAAACAGTCTTCGGTTGCTGATGTGGCAGAGAGACAGACTTCCCACTTGTCTTGTAAGGGATATCTGCCTGCTGACTGGGCATCCGTTCTTGGGCCTGAAGAAGACTGGCAGGAACAGTGAGGTATCTCAACGTGACAGGACGAACGTGACAAGGATCGGGTTACACACTTGCTGACGTGTCACCCACGATTGACGAACAGGACCTGTGCTGACGTGGCAAGATTTGCTGTGTCGGCACTCCAAGGGTGACACGTGGCAGGCAGGATTGCTGCTAAGTGAGGAAGGGGCACTTTGAGGACTTCGGCGGTATGGCTGATTGTACAGCTGTAGTGCCAGCTGTCCGGTAGAGTGCATGATCGCACTGACACTCAAGGCACAGCAAGGAGAAAGTGGGTTGATGAGCTGTTTTTTTTTGTTTGGCTTACTTACCTGATGATTGAAGTATGCTGACAAACTGTTTTTGTTTCTGTTTGCATACTTACCTGTGTTTGCTGTCTTTGGTGTTGCGTACTCACTTGTGTGTTGAATCTGATCACACGGGCTTGGTGAAGTACCTGTAGACAAGACGTCATCACACAGATTAGAAAAAGAACAGCAAATAGTAAATTGAATCTGTTTCTTTAATTCTTTTTATTTCTCTGAATTCCTTTTGTGGATCTTTTCTCCAATTTGACTTCCAAAATGTTTGGACTATTGAAGGTCCTTCTATTTCTTTTTCCAATGGCTCTGTTCTCGGGTGAGGGGACTTCGGACCCAAAAACTCGACGACAGGCGGAACAAAGGAAACAGGAATTGTTAGCACTATGGAATCAGCGGTTAAATGATTTGCGTCTGTCTGGACCGGACGCTGAGCAACACGTCCGTAACCTGTTTGATTTGCAGACGGTAGAGAACCATCTGAATCAAGCAGTTGCGGGCGCGTAGGTTGCAGCTGCCGGTATTGAGGTCACTAATATGATAGGCCAGTGCCGTCAGGCACTGGATCAATATGCAATCAAACAGTTAGAGACCGTGATGGATATGACTAGGAAAGGTGAAGTCAAACCAGAAGTAACGGAAGCCACTATTGATGCTAACATTCAGCAATTGCGTGACACTTTGGCTGCTGAAGAAAGAAAGAAAGAAGAGTTAACAAGGAGAAGAGAACACGAGAAGAGAAGGGAACAGAAAGTTAAAGAGATTCGTGAGGTAATAGGAACAAATGTCAAAGAAGAAGGAGATATGCAGCAAACTTTTTATCACATCATGACTTACCTCTCTTTCCTTGAAGAGAAGATTGAACGGCAACAAAGTTAGTTAGACGAGATTGTTGTTGGATTGAGAACCGTTACCAACATTGTGAAAGGGAAGACTCAGGTAACGGAAGAAGAGACAAAGGAAGACAAAGAGAAAAATAAAGAAAAGAAGTTGATGAGTGATGCTATAAAGTCTGCTGTTCCGAAAGAAAAGACTGAAGAGGGGAAGCCGTCTAATGGGGGAGGATCGAGTCAGCCATCTACTCCTCCTTCTTCTCCTCATTCTACTCCTCCTAATTCTCCACCTCCAAGTTCTCCAAAGAAACCCGCGGAACCTGAAAAACCCAAGAAGAGGGAAAAAGTGAAGATGAAAATGCCTTTCACGTTTTGCAACAAAAAAGATGAAAATTTGTTGTTGTGGATTGCCGAGATCCAGATGTATTGTAAGACGTCTCTAGTTGAGCCTGATTCTCAAGTTGCATTTTCCACTTCATGTTTAGGTGGGGAAGCAAAGGAATGGGTGCTGGCTGAGGCTAACGCCGCAGGGTTCGAGGACATTGGGGAATGGTCTGGGACAATGAACCTGAAGCAGTTCCTTGCTAAGATCAAGGAACGCTTCCTGGACAAGACGACGACCGATAAGGCCTTTGATCAACTCACGACCATAGGCCAGCGTCATTGGACCTCTGTAGAGTCTTTGTCACGGGAGGTAGATCGGTTGCTGCATGTTCCTGGATTGAACCTGCAGGACAATCAAGTCCTATATATCTATTCCCGTGCTCTGCGCGAGCCTATTCGTGGACAGCTCGTGGCCGATTCGAAATCCGGCAAATATAACTATAGGCAGTTTCGAGACCTGGCTCTCCAACGAGAGCAAATGACTTCACAAGTAAAGAACACATATGCTTCTGTGGTGAAGTATGATGGAGGAGGAGGGGCAAATTTGGGCAAACGGGTCCTTTGGCATCAGAAGCGCCAGGACCATGTGCTTGTTCTTTTTGACAATGAAACCGTGGAAAAATTGCCGCTAGAAGCTGAGGGAGCGACATGCAGCAGTGAGTTTGGGAAGGGGGAAGTCACTGCTGCTTTGGTCAACAAGGGAGGGCCACATGTTGGAGGAGTTAAGAAGAAGAAACCACGTTTGTTCCCTGAGCATCCCGGAATTGCGGCCGGGAAGCCCTGGGAGAAGATGGGAATTACTCGGGCATTGTGGCAAGACTGAATGAACAATGCACAGTGTTTGAAATGTGGACTTGCAGGGCATGTAATAGCCTGGTGTCCATAAATTCGTTACCCAAAAGCGAGCAGCCAGTAGGAGTAACATCTGCTCCTACTGAGTCTAAAGGTTTGGATCAAGAAGAAGGTAAGGCGCCTACGATCCCTTCCAACATTTCGACTCGCATGGTAGAGGATGGTTCTTCTTCGGCCCGTCATCCAGAACACCCTGCACCTGTCTTATGCACTGTCTCTCTGGATGACTCTCTTGACGAGCTTGGTAACGAGTTGCTGGCACTACGAAGCTCGTGGGCTCAGAAAGCAAAGTCTAAGGGTGAATTATTACTCGCGGATGTAAAAATCGCACATGGACGCGTGGGTGCACTACTAGACTCGGGATCTACGCGATCCTACATTTTCGAAAAGGCAATTCGCAAATTGCATCTCGGAATGAAGATAAAGAACTTGTCTCAACCTATCACGTCTATCCTGGCAGACAAAAGCACGATCACTGTCTCACAATATGTTGATCGTGTGAAATGTCGCTTCCGTACGAGGGACGGAAAGAAGATTATGCATGAAATTTCTTTTCTTGTTGAGAAGAACTTACCATTTGACATGATTCTGGGTATGGATTGGCACGAAAAAGCCAACCCAGACATCAAGTTCAAAGATAAGATTGTGCAATTGCGGGACGCACAATCAGAATTGAAAACCATCAAATTGTATCATAAGTCTGGCTCTGACTCAAGTTTGTCTTTTTGTTGCATGAGTTATCCAGCCTTTCGTTCGATGGTTTCAAAGAAGAAACTGGAATAGGAAGTAATGATAGTACTAGTAAAGCAAGTTGGCGAGTCCTCTACTTCCTATCCACCCTCGATTGAAAAACTCTTAGACGAGTATAAAGATCTACTAGTTGAACCAAAAGGAACGACTGAGCGTGCTATAAAGCACACCATTGAAATCATTCTTGGCAGTAAGACTCCCAAGGGCCCTATTCATAGAATGTCTCCTAGGGAACTTGAGGAACTAAGGAAACAACTCCAGGACTTAACTGAGAAAGGATGAATTCGCCCTAGCTCTTCTCCTTATGGCGCTCCTGTTTTGTTTGTGCCTAAAAAGGAAGGTGAGTTACGTCTTTGTATTAACTATAGAGGGCTGAATTCTGTCACTGTCAAAAATGTTGAACCCCTACCGCGCATTGACGATTTGTTGGATCAGTTGCAGGGCTGTGAGTACTTCAGCAAGATTGATCTAAAGTTTGGGTACCACCAGATCGAGGTGGATCCCGTAGATCAACACAAGACTGCTTTCCGAACAAGGTATGGTCACTACGAGTTTGTGGTTATGCCCTTCGGATTGACTAACGCCCAACGACCTTCCAAAGGTCCATGAATGAGCTATTCCGTCAGTGGTTGGATCAATTCGTCATTGTGTATCTTGATGACATTCTAGTGTATAGTAAAACACTAGAAGATCATGAGAAACACCTACGTCTTGTATTAGGGAAGTTGCGAGAAGGTAACTTCAAACTGAACCCGAAGAAATCCGAGTTCGCTAAGTCTGAAGTCCTATACCTAGGGCATATAGTGAACGAAGATGGTCTAAGGCCTGAGGAAAAGAAGATATCAGCAATTAGAGATTGGCCACAACCTAAGTCTATTACCGAATTACGCTCTTTTCTTGGTTTGGCGAGTTACTATAGGAAGTTTGTTAGGAACTTCTCTCTCGTCACCGCACCAATGAGGAAATTGCTAAAGAGAGGAACCATATGGCTGTGGGATAAGGACTGTGAGTCTGCATTTAAGAAATTATACTTTGACCCACTATCCTGTTCTGAAAATTGTTGACCCATTTCTTCCCTTTATTGTTACAACTGACGCAAGTCAGTACGGAATTGGCGCAGTCCTTCAACAGGACGATGGCAAAGGTTACAGACCAGTTGAATTTATGTCTGCCCGATTGCCCACTGAAAAAGTTGCCAACTCCACATATGAAAGGGAATTGTATGCCTTAGTCTGTGCACTAAAGACCTGGAGGCACTACTTGTTAGGAAGGCACTTCACTGTGTATTCAGACCACTCTACTTTACAGTGGATAAAAACACAACCGAAGCTCTCCGACAAGCTGGTAAGATGGTCTGCTCTCATTGATACCTTTGACTTTGAACTAAAAACCATCAAAGGAAAATCTAATGTGGTTGCAGACGCATTATCCAGGAGAAGTGACTTCTTTGGTGCTATTGTCTCTTATTTAGACGTTGGGAGTGATGTGAAAGATAAGATCCGCCAAGGGTATGCTAGTGATCCTATCTGGAAGCCTGTCCTTGACACTATAGAGAAAGACCCATCTCTACTTCCCAACTACAAAATGACTGATGGTTTGCTTTTCTTGATTGACCAAACTGAGCAGAGACTCTGTATCCCTCACCAAGAAGAGATTTAAAGTCTAGTGATTGGAGAATGTCACGACTCTGAGGGGTATTTTGGATTCAAGAAAACTTATTCTGAAGTCAGAGAACACTTCGATTGGAAAGGATTGAAGGAAAATGTACTAACCTACGTTCATACTTGTCTAGTGTGCCAGAGAAACAAACCTTCACACGAGAACCCTTTGGGTCTCCTGAGACCATTGCCAATCCCAAGTGAACCAGGTGAGTCTATCACAATGGACTTCATGAGTCTCATCAAGAGTCAGAATGGTAATAGTCAAGTGATGGTTATTGTTGACCGTTTCTCTAAGTATGCTATGTTCATTCCTTTACCTGCTGAAGCACGGACTGAACTTGTGATTCAAAAATTTCAGATGCGATGGGTTACTGGATATGGATTTCCCTTGTCTATTGTGTCTGATCGAGATACGAGATTTACAAGTATGCCATGGCAAAAGATGATGGAGGCATACGGTACTCGTTTGACCATGTCGACAAGGCGACACCCTGAAACAAACGGGCAAAGTGAGCAAATGAACCGCCTGTGCCAACAACTCTTGCGTATGTATGTAAGACCCGATCAGGTTGATTGGGCTGAGAACTTACCTAAAATAGACAGTGCATATAACAACAGTGTTCATACTGCAACTGGACGTACACCTAATGTATTGCATAAGGGATGGAAACCTAGACGTCCCATTGATATTCTAACACGGGACCAATTTCTCAGGTTACCACGCGGGACTCGTGAATATGCAGTATTGTTTCAAAAAGACATCAAAAAGGTGAAAGAGAACCTAAGGAAAGCTCAAGAACAAATGATAAACCAAGCTAATAAGCATCGCCGACCGTCGACATTTAAGGTGGGTGATTTTGTCTGGGTCAAGTCTACAGAGTTCTCATTAGAAGAAGATGTGTCTCAAAAACTTCTGCCTGTCTATTTCGGACCCTGGGAAGTTCTCAAAGTCATTGGAGATGCTGAGGGACCGTCTTATCGTATTGATATTCCCCCTCATCTCAAGACTTATTCTGTCTTTCATGCGTCCAAACCGTTACCTTCTGTAGAAGGGAATGACTTTCCTACGAGACCCTCTATGATTCCACCATCAATGGACGGAGGTTATGAAGTCGACAGAATCATAGAACATGGATTCTTTTCTACAGGAGCTCGCGGGTGTCCTCAGAAGCAGTTTAAGGTACGTTTTAAATCTCAACAACCATCAGAAGACCGATGGTTCAGCAAGAAGGTACTTCTTGAGACTGCTCCTGATATCGTTGCTGCTTATGAACGAGGGTTAAAGTCTTAATTAATTCTGCGGTGGAACTCGAAAATGGGACGGCAGGAATGTAGTAACCCTGTTCAGAAGTAGCCCGGGGCTCAGAACTCAGCCCCAGGCCACGCAGACCAGACTTGGTCTGCGCTGGGCTGTGTGACCAGCAC